CTCTCCAAACAAAGTAGATCGTGGCAGTAGCATAAAGGAGGAAGAGATTTCTAGTCTTAGCAATGTGACCTTGCTCCCATATATTATCAAAAACCTGATGGTAATTCGAACGCATAAACAGACAATGCATCCAGGGGAAGATATCTTTGAGAATCTCAAAAGTGTAGCTACATTCAAAGAAAAGGTGAGTGATAGATTCCATTTCATTGTTGCAAAAGCAGCAGGAGTTAGGGACAAAAATGCCACGGACTGCCAGGACATCCGCAGTCTTTAAACCACCATGAAACATCATCCAAGCATAAACAGAGTAACGAAGGGCATTATGCTTATGCCAAATGTATTTATGCCAAGGAACAGCATTAAAATTAGCATATAACTGAGAATTGAAATCTCTAAAGGTAGGATGTTGCTTATTATTCCAGAGATTATTCTCAGTAGTGCTATTAATGGGAACAGACTGAATAAGAGTCACCATACGGCTATCCAAGCTACTAGGGAGGTTCCAGCTATTGCCCAGAATAAGCTGAGAAACTTTGCAATCATACAGAGGGGCGTAATTAACAGTATTCGGACTCATTAAGTAGTTAGCAACAGAATTTCCCCCACACCAAGGGTCCCAAAAAAATGACAGGTTGCTGCTAGCATGTATAGTGAAAGTAATACAATCTTTAATCTCATTTGCTTTGGTACACAGATAATTCCAGTAATAGGAGTTGTTGTTGGCTTTGGGTTTCCAAAAAGAATTATATTTAGCACGCCACCAGGAGATGAGCAGGGAATCAGCATTTAAAAATCTCCAAATAGCAGAGCAAGCATAACTATGCTGTAGAGAAGAAATTGAGGGAATGCCCAAACCCCCAAAGATTTTTGGACAACAAGTTTTACTCCAGGATATAGTAGCTAGTTTCCTGTCCTTGATGTTGCCAAAAAATGTAAATCTAGAACACAACCTGGAAATAAGTTTACAGCAACCCTTGGGTATGATGGATCCGCGAATCCAATAAGCTAGGGTATTAGATATAGTGAATTTAATAAATTGCACACGCCCAGCCAATGATAGCAGTCTAGCCTTCCAACCCTCAAGCTGAGAAGTAATTTTTTGAATTAAAGGGTTGAAGTCATTCAATCTGAGCTTTCTATAGAAAATAGGCAAACCCAGATATTTAATGGGAGAAGTGGCCTGTTGAATATTGAGAATATGACAAATTTCATCAGCAACCAAAGTGTTGTTGGATAGTAGAATAGAGCTTTTAAGAGGGTTCACAGTAAGGCCAGAAACCGCAGCAAAGTCTTTCAGAATAGAATTTATAGCATGGGCATTAGTAGTAGTAGCAGTGCTAAAGACAAGAAGATCATCAGCAAACATAAGATGCGAGACCTCACACCTCCCTGCTTTGATGGCTTGGAATGAATTATTCGCAGTAGCAAGATCGAATAAAGAGGAGAGACCATCCATAATGATAGCAAAAAGATATGGAGACAAAGGACATCCTTGTCTGATTCCAGAGGTGGAATTAAAATAGCCTTCCAGCACCCCATTTATGCAAATAGAGAAGTGAACATTAGTGGTGCAAGCTTTAATCCAAGAGATAAACATGTCAGGAAATCCTTTGTCTTTTAATCTTTTGTAAAGAAAGTCTCTAGACACCATATCAAATGCTTTAGTAATATCAAACTTGGCACATAAATACTTGTTTTTGGCTTTGAGGTTAAAACTGCCCAGAATATCAGTAGCCAAAAGAATGTGATCGGAGATAATTCTTTTGTGAATGAAACCACCTTGGTTGGGATGAATGATGTAGGGCAAAACGGTCTTCATTCTATTCGCAATGATCTTAGCGATGATTTTATAGATAACATTACAAAGGGCAATTGGTCTATAATGTTTCACATTGCTAGCGTGACTTTGCTTTGGAATCAGAGCAATTGCAGTAGCTTTGGTTTGGTTTGGCATAATACCGGTGGTAAAGAAATAGGAGACAGCACGACAGAGTTGGTGTTGTAAAACATTCCAAGTAGATCTATAAAAATCAAAAGTGTAACCATCAGGACCCGGGGAAGTGTTTGAGTTACTAGAAAAAACAATATCTTTAATCTCTTCCATTGTGACCGGTGCAATAAGTGTGGGAGCAAAATGAGCTGGAACCTGATTCCTAGTAGGAATGACAATGTCCATCTGGCTGGGGGCATAGGAATTGAAAAGGTTTTTGTAATGGTTGATAAATACATTGTCTATGTCAGCATGCTCAAAATAAGTTCCTTGGTCATTGGAAATAGACTTTATCTTGTTGTGATTTTTGGTAATGTTGATTTTGGAATACAAGAATTTCAAATCGTCTTCACCGTTTGTTAACCATTTGATCTTGGCTTGTTGAGTAATCCATTTAGAATGTGCATCTTGATAGAGAGCAAGATTATTGCTGATTTGATTGAGCTTGCTGTTCAAGGTGGAGTCAAGAGGTGCCCTTTGAATTTGAGTTAAAACAGAGTGATGAAGCTCTTTGAGTTTGTCAATTTCACCTTGGATATGAGTAGCATTAGTCCAACTTTTGTATTTCATAGCATTCTTGAGGGTTTTGAGCTTAAAGTTGAAAGAACTGAGAGGATTACTCTCATTAGGAAGAGAGAAAACATCCAGTAGGCAGCTCCAAAATTCGGGAAACTTGGTGCAAAAGTTTTTGAATAAGAAACGATGCCTACGTTTATTATGAGTAGAATTTACCAAAATAAGTGGGGAATGATCAGAACTATCAGGATCTTCAACTTTGTAGAAGGAGTTGGGAAAGCAATTGAGCCAAGTATCATTGACAAGAACCCGGTCGAGCTTGATATGAATTGGGTTATGAATCTGTTGATTATGCCAAGTGAAGAAGTGCCCAACAGAGGATAAATCGTGAATACCCGCATTGAAAACCATAGTATTGAAGTCACCAAGTTTGGAAACAGTCAGAGCAGTGCCCCCAACTTTCTCACCCAATTCACGGCAGCAGTTAAAGTCGCCCAGAACAGCCCAAGGGATATTGATAGAACCAGCCAGATCTTGAATATTTTTCCAAAGGGTTTGCCTTTCAGTATGAGAATTGCTAGCATAAACAGCAGTGATAGCACAAACAACATTTGCATTAGTAGTGATAGTGCCATGAATGAACTGATTAGTCATAGCAAGAGGGCTAAAATTTAAAGCTTCCTTGTTCCATTTAACCCAGATACGCCCAGGATTGGAAAAAAGAAAATTGTCACAAGTGCCTTCAATGGGAAAGATTTGATGATTGGCCCTAAACCAATCATTATTAAGGTTGGTGGGAGTAATTTTAGCTTCTAGGATGAAAAGAAGATCAAGGTTGTGGGATCTGACAAGGTTTTTGCAGCTATTGACTTTGACAGGGTTGTTAAACCCACGGATATTCCAAGCTGCAATATTGGGTAGGGTCATTGGACTTTGTTATTGGGAGTAGAGGCTTTTTTCCCGGGCTTGCCTCTAGTTTGTTTTTGAATTTTGTTGCTTGTGTGGTGGTCTTTAGGGGTATTAGACGTGGAGCTTGTCCCCTTGAGGTCTCATCATACCATCATGTCCATTTCCATCGAATTATCGATTTATCTTTTTTTTCCCAGAAACTGTGGTCCATTTTCTCCTTAAAAAAAAACTGGTCCCCGCTTTCACTATACGATAAAACCTTTTAGTCATTCGTTATAATAATAATAAAGCCTCTGTCCCGCTTAGCAGCACTTTTTCACTGAAAAATAAATTAGAGCGCTTTTCAGCCATAGACTGGGGATAACACAGTCTGAAGTGTGGCCCATGTACTCGCAGGCGAATAGTGAGCTGGCGCTAACGTGAACCACTCTTTTGGCAAGCTAAACACCACTACCAAAAAAAATTAATGTTTTCTCAGCCGTTTTTAAGAGCGGTTCGAAAACCGCCGCTAAAAATAGGTATAAATTGCCGTGAAATCTGCTGCTAAATTTAGTTTTAAAAACTGATAAAACCACTTCAAACAGTGAGTCAATTCACGCTACTACTCCCTCAGTGCACAAACTTTTATTTGGTCCGGTCACCTGACGTAGCTTTACGTTCGGATGCCAGTAAAATAGTGTCACATGTTCTCACTATTTACCGCGCGGCCCGACAACCCCGACCCGGAACGGAGACGGGATTGCTATGTAAACGTGTTGCTAGGTATTGCTCGGTATTTCTCGGTATTGCTCTGTATTGGTCTTCACATAGCGATATTTTTCATTATTGCGAAGCAATAACTAGCAATACCGAGCAATACGCGAACATAGCAATCCCGGGTCAAATCGTCGGGCCGCATGGTATTGCATAAGATCACGTGGAGACATGTTATTGGCGTCCGAATGTAGAGCTACGTCAGATCACCTGACCTAATAATTGTTCCAGGTGCACAAAGAAGCAAGGATCAATGGGGCCCATTGTTCCGTGCATGACTGATTGGGAGGAGCAACAGCTGGAAGCAGAGTAGAGGTTGAGGTCGCCGATCGAGATCCACGGGGCTCAATTCATTTACTGTTGGCTCCTCGGCCACAAATTTAATTTAAAGTGAGAAATGCTTATCAATACACTTTCAACAAATTCGTTATAAAATTTATAAAAATTGTTCCTTGCAGCAAGCACCACATAAATATATGTGCCCTCTCTTATAGGGATTAGATTTAAGAGGTCGTTGCTCCGTATATGGACTGGCTAGCCCCAAAGCTTTAGAAGAATGTGGAGAAGTAGAATTTTGGATGGCTGAAAGGCTTCGTTTGGGACGGCTGCAATTGTCGGTAAAGCAGGTTGTGAAGTTGTTGTCCAAAAAGCTACTTTATAAAGTTACTGTACAAAAATCAATAAAAATTGTTTGGGTAGTATAACTGCCGAGCTACTGTGCTGCTGCTGTGTAACAATAAATTACCTTGAAGCCTTTCTATATATTAGCATGTTTTGGAGGAGGAGGAGGATGACATCGCCTTGTTTAATGTTGAGGGAGGAGAGGCCGGCGGGAGAGAAGGTGGGTTTTGGCGAAGGTATAAATTCTGCCGGAGGTGCCGGAAATGAGACAGGGGTTGTCGGCGAAGTCTGAGAGTTTTTCGAAGCAGTAGGTGTGAAGGGCAAGGTGGTTGGAGATGGGAATGTCGGGTAGTCTTGACCGGAATATGACGGTCTCCGGAGGTGATGACGGTGGTGCTGAGGGGGAATTATCATGTTGAGAGGAGGAGACGGTGATCATGGCTTCTCCATTTTAGGGGGAATTATCATGATGATCATGGCTGAGGGGAAATTATCATGTTGGGAAGTGTCGGAATCAGATCTCCGTCGCAACTTCTCCTCCGGCGCTAAGCTCATCATCACCCACTCCATCTTCGTCGATAAAATCCAAACCGGAACCACGGTGATCACCGTCGATGACCCATCGCTGGAAAAATCCTGCCTTTCATTCGCCGTTCTCTCTGACGCCGACGAGTCTGAACTTGCTGAACTAATTTCCATATCCCCTGAGGACACGGTGGCGCTTCCTTTCTCGTATGGAACGATGGGTCTGCCGAAAGGGGTGATGTTAACTCACCGGAGCATGATAACGAGCATCGCGCAACAAGTAGATGGAGAAAATCCGAATCTTTTTCTGAAAAGTGATGACGTTGTGCTCTGTGTTCTTCCCCTGTATCATATATTTTCTCTCAACTTTACTTTGCTTTGCTCGCTGAGATTGGGTGAGGCGGTTGTGACAATGCCGAAGTTCGAGATTGAAGCAATGCTGAGACTGATACAGAAGTATAAGGTGACGGCGACGGCGGTGGTGCCGCCGCTAGTGTTAGCTTTGGCGAAAAGTCCTCTGATGGAGAGCTTTGATTTGAATTCTATAAGAATTGTACTGTCGGGGGCGGCGCCGCTCGGGAAGGAGCTTCAAACCGCGCAATGCCGCCGGCTGCCGCATGCCGTCTTCGGCCAGCCTCCGGCGCTAAACTCATCATCACCCACTCCATCTTTGTCGATAAAATCCAAACCGGAACCACGGTGATCACCGTCGATGACCCACCGCCGGAAAAATCCTGCCTTTCATTCACCGTTCTCTCTGGCGCCGAACTTCACGAGGAAGAAGAAAATATATGGTGTATTTGGCAAGGCATTTGCGTCTTTCTCTTACCCTCAAACAACGGAAAGCAGCGAAAGCAGGAGTCTGCTTCAGGATCAAAAAAGCAGCCGCGGGATGCAAAATTTTGAGAACGGAGCACAACCTCGTCTCCCCAAACCCCAACTCGGTTGCGTTTCCTACCGTACAGCAGCGAAAATGGCGTCCCAAACGCACCCTGAGTGCAAGTCACTAGGATCATCCTGCTTATCTGTGTGTTATTCCCTTTCCTGTGATGTATCTCAATGTCTCTTCTTGCTTTGAAAGGTCTTTGAAAATTGAATGTAAATGAGTCGAGTAATGGGACTATCGAGCTCGACTCATCAATCGAAAAACTAGCTCGAACTCAACCTCGTCCAACAATAAACAAGCTCGAGCCGGCTCATGAGCCGGCTCGGCTCACTTAAAACTAAAACATTTAAAAAAGTGCAAATAAAAGAAAATAACAAGCATAGTATTTTTATGACGTTCGGCTAGAAACCAACCTGGGCTATGTCCATACTAACCAACACTCAGTCAAAAAATTCACTAAATCTGTAGTTTTCTTGCAAAGGACACTTCGTTAAATCAAAGAAGTTACTTATAACCTAAGTACTAACCAACATGAGTTAATACAACATAATCTAAATATAATATGAACTTTACTAAGAAAGTGGACTTATATATATAATTTGTTATAGATAATATAAGCTCAAATTATCTGATAATTAAAAGCGAAAGTTATATGAGGTAATTTTATAATGTGAAGTTAATCAATTCACTATTTGCAAATGGAATATAAAATTTGTTAACTATAAATTATATTTATATTTTGATTAATATGTGTATTATTTTACTTTAAAAAATTTATTTGTTGATGTTTTTAAATCATATAAAATATTTATTTTAAATTAAAATATGCATATGAAATACTTTAAATACATGTTAGACTTAGAAAGTAAATTTATTCAAGAATATAAAAGATTTACTTGCTAACCCAAAAATAACTCAAAAAGGACCAGCGACCTCCAATCCGCACCTCCTGCCCACACCGCTATCTCACTGACAAGCCCTTAGGTAGTTCGCTTTCAAGCCCAGCTCCATGCCACCTCACATAACTCGCACGTCCCGCTCCTCCCGCTCGCACTGCTTGCCTCGTCCTGCTCCCACCCGTTGTCTGCACCATACCGTGTCCCGCTCCCCACCCACGTGACTTCGAACTCCAGCTCGAACCGTAACCCACCCAATCGTGTTTGACCCGTGCTATGGCCTGCTCTCTACTCAATTGAGTCTGCGTGTTGGGTCTGTATGAACTTAGTAGGCGCGCAATACTAAGGTGAAATTAGGAATTTCTAGTTTATTTCTTGGGAGATCGACACTCTTTTCATGAGTATATTACTTAACATAATACATGTACTTACATTAAATAAGCCTTAAACAATAGCAAAATTAAACTATCTTTAGATAAATTAATAATGTGTGTAAGCTCAAGCGCAAATCTCTACAGCATTTGCAAAGCTATAATATAAGTTACCTGTAAAATATATAATGAAGCAAGATCCATCCTGGAGTGCTTAAAAGAAGCTAAGGAGAACTTCATAAATTAATCTAATATAAAACTAAGTTGTATTACAATCCGTTCAACAATAATTAATAATAATTAAGCTCGATTATGCCTACTTATAATTAAAATATAATAGAAGATTCTTACCTTTGAAATGACTCATCTAACCTAATTAAATTAAGATTGGCTCATATATATATATATATATTGGTGATGTGGAACCCCTCCGTTTTACGATGAGTAAAATCCTGGTCGACCTAGCAGGCAACCCACGCCACTTACCCAGACCAACTCTTAAGGCTGTCTCGGTCGCCCCATGGGATTCAAACCAGGATCTGAACTTTATCCAGCTGAGCTCCCCCCACATGAGCTAAGCGGCGGTTGGTATAAATATTTTTTTAAAATAACAGTAATAATAATAACAATAATATTATTCAAGAATATAAAAGATTTACTTGCTAACCCAAAAATAACTCAAAAAGGACCAGCGACCTCCAATCCGCACCTCCTGCCCACACCGCTATCTCACTGACAAGCCCTTAGGTAGTTCGCTTTCAAGCCTAGCTCCATGCCACCTCACATAACTCGCACGTCCCGCTCCTCCCGCTCGCACTTGGGACCCTTGGTGCTTTGGGCTAACTGTGGCTGATAGGCTTGAACAAGCTAATCTTTACTCTAGCATCAGTCCCTCTATTACAAATTCAAAAGTTAGCTGGTTTATCTCTACTGATAGTTGGAATTCTGCTTTACCTGTTCCTTCGAATTTAGATGTTTTGATTCGATCCATTCCCATTGCTAATGATACTGATGAATGTTGCTGGACTAAACCTTATAAACCGTCTTTCAAAGCATTTATTATGCAATTTTTTGAAGGTGCTGAGAAAGTGTCCTGGTATAATTTTGTTTGGCACAAACACTATGCCATTCGTTTCTCCATTTTCACCTGGATTGCATTCAAAAATGGTCTTAAAACTGCACAGGCTCTTGCTGCTAGGGGAATTCCGGTTGTTACTCTTTGTGCTTTCTGCAAGACCCAAAATGAAACTCAAAACCATCTCTTTTTTGAATGTGATTTTACCTTTAGCATCCTCAAATGCCTTCTCCCGAGGATGTCTTCTATGCTGCTTAGGCCTAATCTGTGGCAAGTGTTTTGTGAAATTGGGGAGCAGGAAACTGACAAGATTCTTACAAGTTACATGTATCTCACTATGTCTGCTATGGTTTATTTCTTATGGAAAGCTAGAAATGATAGATTGTTTGGTAACACCAATGAGAGCATTGAGACTATTATTTTCAAAATCAAAAGGGCGGTTGGCTTTAAAACATCCAGGACAAAATGCTTCCAACAATTACAGAATATGCTCACTTGATCTTTGCTGTGAAGGTCGCTGATTGGATGCCCCTCGGATGGCTGTCCCTTGCAACCAGGGGTTCGTTGGGTATTTTGAAGGACGATGATGACAGCAATCTGTTTATTTTTTTCCCCTTGGATGGTCTGGACCAGCTGGCTAATCTTCGGCAACCAGGGGAATTTTGGTGCCTACGAGTTTCTATGATTGCACTGAGTCCTTAGCCTTTGGCTTTTCTGCTTACCTGTTTGGCTTTCCTTTTTGCTTACAGGGTTCTTTTGTTTTTCTATTACTCTGTAATCTTTTTTACTTTTCATTAGTTCTCTTTGTTAAGCAGCTGTTTGCTGATAGGGTTTTGTCATTTGCTACATATTTTTTATGCCTAGCATTTGACCTTTTTACTGTAACCGTTTCCTTTATTAATATGATGGGCTCCATTGTTCCGTGCATGACTGATTGGGAGGAGCAACAGCTGGAAGCAGAGTAGAGGTTGAGGTCGCCGATCGAGATCTACGGGGCTCAATTCATTTATTGTTGGCTCCTCGGCCACAAATTTAATTTGAAGTGAGAACTGTTTATCAATGCACGTTCAATTTCGTTATCAAATGTTTAAAAATTGTTCCTTGCAGCAAGCACCACATAAGTATATATGCCCTCTCTTATAGGGATTAGATTTAAGAGGTCGTTGCTCCGTATATGGACTGGCTAGCCCCAAAGGTTTAGAAGAATGTGGAGATGTAGAATTTTGGATGGCTGAGTGCAAGCTAATTAAGTCGTTAGGATCATCCTGCTTTTGTGTTTGTTATTCCCTTGCCTGTGATTTTTCTCATTGTCTCTTCTTGCTTTTAAATGTCTTTGAAAATTGAATTATCTCCCTAATACACCCTAAGAGGGGTGTAAACGAGTAGAGTGTTGGCACTATTGAGTTCGGCTCGTCAGTAAAAAAGCCAGCTCAAGCTCAAAAGACGAGCTTGAGTTAGCTCGTCCCACGATAAACGAGGAGCCGGCTCGGCTCACTTAAAACCACGAGCACGATTTTTAAAAATTAGGTGGGTTTTAAAAAAAAACTGCAATTTTTAACAATTAATAATAATTTTTAAAATATTTAAATTTAAAAAATTATTTAAAAATTATTAATAATTATACAAGACGGCTCGCGATCTTACGAGCCGAGCCTTAACAAGCTCGAACTCAAGCTAAGCAAGCTCAATTTTGAGCTCGACTCGATTCTTGAGCTCAACAAGCTTGGCTCATGAGCCATAAACGAGTCAAGCTTTAGCCGACTCTGCTCACTTACACCCCTACACCGTAATGATATTAAAATATAATTTTAGACATACAACACATCAACATTAACATATTAAAAAGTCACAAGGTGACTAATCACTTTACCTAACTTATAACTACATTAAAAAAACATGTTTAATAAAAATATCCCCTTGCCATTGACCTAGTAATATGCCTATTTTTTTTAATTTTTTTTACTAGTAATATGCCTATGATACACTGCATCTCATATCCTTTTTTACCAATATACTCACGTTGAAAGACTATGGAACCCCAAGAGGTGAGGAGAATTTGAGTTTTTTCTTTTTTTAATTTTAATCAAATAAAATAACTAATGTAAATTTAATGCTAATAGGCAATAGTATAAATTGACACAATTTTAAAAACTTACAAGTAAAAGATAAAAGAATTATATATATATATAATTGCAAGTAAAACAAATAATAATCAAAGTATTTTTATGTGATTCAGCTAGACACCAACTTGACCTATGTCCATACTAACCAACACTCAGGCTAAAAATTCACTAAATCCCCAGCTTTTCTTGCAAAGTCATTTCATTAAATCAAAGACGTTACTTATAATCTAAGTACTATCCAACATGAGCTAACACACTCTAAATATAATATGAGCTTTACTAAGAAAGTGGACTTATATATATATATAAAAGCTCAAATTATCTTATAATTAAAAGAGAAAGTTATTTGAGGTAATTTTATAATGTGACGTTAATCACTTCACTACTTACAAATGAAATATAAAATTTGTTCACTTGAAATTATATTTATATTTTGATTATACGAGTAATATTTTACTTTAAAAAATTTTATTTGTTGAATTTTTTAAATCATATAAAATATTTATTTTAAATTTAAATATGCATATGAAATAGTTTTAAATATATGTTAGACTTAGAAAGTAAATTTATGCAAAAATATAAAAGATTTACTTGCTAATTTTGTGGATGAATAAATTTTGAATGTAGAAAATTTATCCTAAGATATTCAAATAGTACTTCACCCAAAATAAACATTTTCAAATGAGATTTAGTCTTCATTTGGGACAGCTATCTTACTGCTTCTTGAAGCAGTTTTTTAGTATAAAAATAATTAAATTTGTATTAAAAAGCTACTTTAAAAAGTAATAAGAAAGCTATTCCAAATAAAAACTTAAAAAAAAAAAACTCAAGAACTTCAACAAAAGCTGCACCATTGAGTACGTTGAAGCTTTCAAATTAAGGGTTTGATCTCGCAAACATGTATAGCCCTTCTAAATATATTTAACATGAAATATTATATTTAAAGCTCCCGTCTTAATCCATCTTGAGTTTTTCTATGCTCAAATTATGATCAAACTTGGTTTACGCATTTTATATATCATATAAATAGTCATCTTGTATGTCTTAATTCCCTAAATAAATAATAGCCAACCCTTGTATTTCATAGTGACTTTGATTGCATGTGATAATGATTAGGGAGGGCATTTCTACCCCAGTAGGATCATAAGCCCAGAAAGTCAGGCTTTATTACAGCCTTTGCAAAGTAAAAGATATAATGAGTGGAGGTAATAGACAGATATTCAATATCTAATGCGGTGCATTTTATGCTAGAGGTATTTCCTAGGACACATTATCTTGTTTGTTATTATTATCTTCTAGAATGCTCTTTTTGCTTTATAAATAGCAGGTTTTGTAATAGGGAAAGCATTGAATGATATATTACACTCTTTGAAGCCTTTGAGCTTGCTCTTCTTCTTCTTCCCTGGATTGGGAAAACCAAATCCTTCTTGCAGGTCGATTCTTCCGACGATCCACTACATCAATATCAAAATAATCTATTTTAGCAAATTAAAAAAAGTAGAAAATGAAAAAGATTAAAAAATTAGTACTTGAAAAATCTAGCCCTTCGTATAAATTATAAGTGGAGGCAATAAATAGGCATTCAAAATCATTATATGGTATTTAGCCAAATAAAAAAAAAAGAAAACAGAAAAAATTAAAAAGTGCTAAATACTTGAATATAAAAAATTAGTACATGCAATGTCTAGCCCTAAAGGAATTATTAGTACATGCAATGTCTTTATACTTCTAAAGGAATTATAAGAATCATAATGCTTAAGGAAAGCTTATAGGTAAATTTAAGGATTAATTATATGTAAAGTTTTACTAATTTCAAAAATCATTAATCCTTAGTAAGCTAGTCAAAATTATTCATCTAGAGGAGTTTAATTTTAAAGGAATATTAATTTAAAATGGAGAATCAAGATGTTATAAATTATTTTAATAGGAAATCTTCCAACTTATGAACTGTATAAATACTTAAATTTTTTTTATTTCTTTCCAAAAGTTATACTCAATCCGAAATAAATTTTTATACCAATAAAGGGTGTCAACTTATGACTCGACCAGAAACCCCGACCTAAACCCAAAAAAAAAAAACCCAATTTTGGGTCAAACCATTTAACAAATGGGTCAGGTTCGAGTTCTAATTTCCAACCCAATTGAAAAATCAAATTAGGTTTGGTTCAACCCTCTAATCCAAAAAAGACCTAGAAATGGCATGCGTCCTCCATATGTACCTCCTGCCCGCACCACTACCGCACTGGCAGACCTGCGTGAGGTGCGCCCGCAAGCCTCGCTCTATAACACATCATGCAGCTCATATGTCTCGCTCCTCTCGCCCACATTATGTGCCACGTCTTGCTCCCACCATACTGTGTTCCTCTCCCGCTGGCTTGGTCGCACTATGTGATTGAGTACTCCAACCCACACCGCAACCCATCTAGCCGTGCTCGACCGGCACTCTGGCCTGTTCTCCGATCAACAATAATTACTAATAATAAACCTAAATTGCTCCTTCTTATTACTAAAATATAATAAAAGATTCTTACCTCTAGAATAACTCATCTAGCCTAATTAAATTAAGATTGGCCCATTCGAATAGTGGTGGTATGACGGGGGTAAAAAAAAATGACAACCGCTAGTCATGTAACTAATGGATGCATGGATTGAATATGCCACGTACTCTGATGATCTCTTGATCACGAACAAATTAATGATGTAGAACACAAGTTTTGATAAATGAATCAATGATATAGTTTTTATAAGGTTTATCAACACCAATTTGGGATCAGAAGAAAACATTGATAACATATAGCCATTTTTAAATTGTAGTCGCTTATAGAAGACTCACTTGCCATTAATGATTCCATATGATGAAGGTTTGTAGAGGCTATACCAACAAAAAAAATTCAAAACCTTCCACTCTAATTTGGTATTTAAACCTGCAAGTTTACATGACCATATAACACAATGATGTTATCTTTAGGTTCTTGGGATTGGCCGACTCTTATCCCAACAATTTCGAAAATTTGCAAAAATCGATAATTTAATCCAACATGTTTGTTTGACAAATGTATGAAATTCATGATCACCCTGATTCTTCAAACTTTGCTTTTAATAGATTTGACAAAATAACATAATTCTAGTGATAATATTTTTCCATTATTTTTTACTCATTTGATTATCATTCCAATTATGTAATATGCCTGATAAACTGTGGATTTTATAATTTCAGAGAAAAGAAATTTTCATGATTCTCTTAATTTGCTTTAAGTCCTTATGACATCAATACTTTTTCCACATAGGGAAATTCTCAAAAGCGATTTTCCTTTTTTTAGTCTTATATGTTTTTTTATTGGAAAAATTAGTGTCAAAGCCCATTTTCAATTACTATAAACAAATAATCACAACAAAGCTAACAAAAACAAAAATTACAACTCAATGAAGAGTAAAGTTGTAAAATTTGTAGAAACTCTTATTCTAGTTTTGTGCAGCAAGAACCCATTGAGGAAGAAGATGAACAGTAGAAGGAAAGTAGTAATTCGTATTTCTTAATGTACGCGGTTACAGAGTAGGTGCCTAAATAGAGTCCTGAGAAGGACTTTACACGTGTAATATAATTACTGGATTACAAGAATGGAAAGATAAAGTAAATAGCTGACTGTACATCTTCTTTAAATACACTAACATCCCCCCTCAAACTGAGAATTAGAGGAAATGGTCAGTTTGGATCGTAGCAACTTGAAGCGAGGAGTGGATAACGGCTTGGTAAGGATGTCAGCTAGCTGATCGATCGTGCTGATGGGTAATAACCGGATTACTTTGTTCTGAATATGCTCATGAACAAACCGCTGATCAATTTCAATATGCTTGGTGTGCGCATGAAAAACGGGATTATTACCGAGAGCAATAGTTGAGGTGTTGTCACAGAAAATGTCCACCGGTGAAGGATGATCGATACAAAAGTCGGCGAGCAACTTTTTGAGCCAAATAGTGTCCGCTGTTGCTGCAGCTAATGCGCGGTATTCAGATTCAGTTGATGAGCGGGACACAGTAGTCTGCTTCTTAACAGTCCAGGAAACAAGTGTATCGCCCAAAAACGTGCAGAACCCGGACGTTGATTTCCGGGTGACGGGATCCGATGCCCAGTCCGCATCGGAGTACGTCTTGAGCAGTAGAGTTGATTTGGTGATAGGCAGACCAAACTCGGTGGTTCCTTTGATGTATCGGATCAGCTTTTTCAACAAAGATGTATGAGCTGAGGCTGGATCGTGCATATGCTGAGACAAAGCATTGACGGCGTAGGCAATGTCTGGTCGTGTGAGAGTCAAATATTGCAAGGACCCGATCAGTTGGCGATAGACGGCTGGAGAAAAACAGGGAGTTGAATTAGACAGATTTCCTGCAAGTTTCGTAGCACAGGGATTAGCAACTGAGTTGCAATTTTGCAACTCAGCGAGTTCGACAATAGACTTAGCATAGAAGGCTTGAGACAAAAAATACTTATCAGAGGTTGTATCAATTTTGATGCCTAGGAAGTGAGTCGGCGAACCATGATTCTTCATGGTAAATTTAAGTTGTAACTGTTGAACGAGCTGATGGATCGTTGCCGGTGAGAAGGATATCATCAACATAGACAAGTAGATATAATTGCACTGTATTCCGATGGAGAAAAAGGAGCGAGGGATCGGCTTGACTATGCGAGAACCCGAGTTGTTGTAAGTATGATGTGAATGTTGTATACCACTCACGAGGAGCTTGGCGGAGACCGTAGATGGCTTTTCGCAGACGGCACACATGATTAGGATTTGTAGAATCCTCAAAGCCTTTTGGCTGTTTCATGTAGACCACCTCATTGATGTCACCATGCAAGAAGGCATTGGTTACATCCAATTGAAGAATTTTCCAACTATAGAATAACGCGATTGTGAATAGGATACGAATAGTGGGAAGCTTGGCGACTGGACTAAACGTGTCGCTGTAGTCTAAACCGTGTTCTTGTTGATTGCCAAGTGCAACCAATCTGGCTTTGAACCGAGCAACCGAGCCATCGGAATTGTACTTAGTGCGATAGGTCCATTTCGATCCAAGAACAGAGCACGTTAAAGGAGGAGCGACTAGTTCCCAGGTTCCTTGTTTTTGAAGAGCAAAGAACTCTTCGGCCATAGCACGACGCCATTCGAACTTTTTGCTAGCCTCAGAGTATGAGGTGGGATCTAAACTTGATTGTTCTTTATGTAATAAATTGAGTTTTTGAACTGGTTTAAGTGACCCAGTTTGACGTCGGGTAGTCATTGGATGTTTGGGATGGAGAGCAGCCGGTATGGTTTGATCAATACTAGCAGAGGCTGGAATACTTATTTCAGGTGTCGTAGAGGAGGTTGCAAAAGGCTGAGAAACGACGACATTGTGCTGAACCGTAGGAGTGGAGTGGCGCACAGAGCCTGATGAGGTGTTATATTACTGAATCGAAGCAGGGGTTAGTAGGGATGGTGGCAGCGGCATAGTAGGAGACAATGCAGCCGAGGTCCTGGTAGTAAAAGGAAAAATAGATTCATTAAATTGTACATGACGAGAGTAAGTCACTTTATGAGTAGACAAATTTTGACATTTATAGCCTTTCATAACGTCGGAGTAACCAAGAAGAACACATTCAGATGAGGTTGGATTTAGTTTGTTACGAAGCATTCGAGGAGTAAGCGGGTAACACAAACACCCGAACGGACGAAGATGATCGTACGAAGGTGTAGTGTTAAACATTCTGTACAGGGGAGTAGAATTGTTGATCGTCTTAGAAGGAAGACGATTAATGAGATAGACCGATGTGTTGACAGCATCAGCCCAATAATCCATAGGCATTCCGACGTTATGAAGAAGAGTTCGAGCGGTGGAGATGACATGTCTGTGCTTTCTTTCAGCGACCCCGTTTTGTTCGGGGGTATAGGGACAAGCTGTCTGATGACAGATGCCTACATTCCGAGTAAACACTTGAAATTTGTGATTGACGAACTCGCCGCCACCGTCTGTTCGAATGATCTTAAGCTTGCGATTCGTTTGACGTTCAATAAAAGATACAAATTGTATAAACGTATTAGTAACTTCAGTTTTAGAAATAAGAGGAAATAACCACGAAAACCTGGAGTAATCATCAATGAAAATTACATAATAGCGGAACCCCTGATGAGAGGGAACCGGAGCCGGTCCCCAGACATCAGAATGAACAATTTCTAATGGAGCATTAGTGCAGGTAAAGGAATTATCAAAAACTAATTTCTGTCCTTTACAAGAAATACAAGCAGAGCACATAGGAGAAGAAGAAGAGATACAGAGAGAGGGATTAAGAGATGCGATCTGCTGAAGAATACGATGGTTAGGATGGCCCAGTCGCTGATGCCAGTTGATGAGACGATTTTGGGTGACCGAGAGACCCGTGGGCTGAGTTTGTCGTTGTGCCGCAAGCTTGTACAACCCATCCTTACATGGACCTGTAAGAATAGTTCGATTGCTCTGCCGGTCCTTGAAGACAAAACCATTTTGATCAAATGTAATGGATAAGTTATTATCTTGAACAAGCTTAGAAATAGACAACAAATTATATGATAAAGACGGAATGTGTAAAAGTTTAGAGAGAAGAAGCTTACTATCGGGGGTGGGAAGGATACCAGTGCCTGTATGGGCAATAGGAACCGACCTTCCGTCCCCGATTGTTACCGAATCAGAGCCATTGTAGTTAGTGGAATTGGACAGATTTTCCAACGTATTGGTCATATGAGCCGATGCTCCTGAGTCGATGTACCAGTCAGTGGACGAGCTGTTATCTGTGCTGGCGAGAAACGCATTCGGATTCTTGGTTGATTGCTGATTTGGCTTGTAATTAATGTTGAGTCGATGCCAACACGCATCAGCTTGATGGCCCTTCTTCTTGCAAATTTGGCAGAATATAGCAGAGGACTGAGATGAACGGTTCGACGAATTTGTATCGGAATTGTTTCGAATCCGACCACGACGACCGCGACCTCTAGAGGCGTATAATGCAGCCTGATTTTCGGGCAGCCTGGGAAACTTGGCGGCAGCGGCTTTAAGATGTATTTCTTCGCTAATGAGAAGAGAATACAAGCTGTCGAGAGAAAGCGAAGTCTGTAATGTGCGGATTGAGGTAGTGAAAGACTGATATTCAGGAGGTAACCCGTTCAGGATATAGATGATAATATCTTCAGGATCGACCGAAGAACCCACAGAGGCAATCTGATCTATTATTTTCTTGATCTCAGTAAGGTACTGAGTCATAGTGAGATTCTGCATCGAGACATTGTGAAGCTCGTGCTTAAGCTGAATTACTTTAGAGCGGTTGGACGATTGGAACCGAGTATGAAGCGTAGACCAAATGTCATGCGTTGATTCAAGATGAATCACATAGGGTAGAACCGACGGAGCAATGGTAGAACACATGGCAGTCGCAAGATTCTGATCCGTGATGGACCAGATTTGAGGATCAAGATTCGGATCTGCATTTTCGGACGCAGATTTGGATTCTAGAAATGCAGCGAAGCCATTTGCTTTGAAAAGCTTGGCAATCTGCGTACTCCAGATGGGAAAATTTTCCGGGCTTAACGCGTGGGGAACAAGAAATTTCATATTGGATATAACGAACTTGAGCGATGGTGAGATTTCCGGAACCAACGACGCGCCGGACGTGGTAGCGGCTGTAGAAGAGGAGGCAGCGGATTGAGATGCCATGGCCAGGTCTTGAGAACTGGAAGACTCTTGATACCATGTAGAAACTCTTATTCTAGTTTTGTGCAGCAAGAACCCATTGAGGAAGAAGATGAACAGTAGAAGGAAAGTAGTAATTCGTATTTCTTAATGTACGCGGTTACAGAGTAGGTGCCTAAATAGAGTCCTGAGAAGGACTTTACATGTGTAATATGATTACTGGATTACAAGAATGGAAAGGTAAAGTAAATAGCTGACTGTACATCTTCTTTAAATACACTAACAAAATTGAGCTGCAACAAAATTGTAGCATTGTTTAAAAACTAGAAACTAAAAATGGTGAGATTGGCACAACAAAAATGTGGACCCATAATAAGAGAGAACGTATAAAGTTCATTTTAAACATGAAATCCTGCAAAATTCCCATGGTTGCCACAAGGACCATCCAAGTGGATTGAGAAATTGTTACATATGGTGTTGATCATCGTTGTCCACTTGAGCCACTACGAAAAAGCAAGCAGAAAAAATGTGGAGGAAATAGACAACCATAATGTATCAAGCATAAACCCTGACAAGCTAGCATATCTTATAGGCAAGCAAATCTTACTCCAACAAACAAGACGTAGTTTATTGTAATTCTATTCCCATGAAAAAAGGAATTTAGCACAAATTCTATCAATAAATTTAAAACAACTTTTGAGTAAAATGACACCCCTAATCAAATAAGCTATTGAATTCTATATAGTGACACAAATGTATTGAAGCCTCCTAGCAAAGAAGAGCAATTTTGCTTTCCAACCATCCAATAAGTGAGATATTTTATGGAATTGACAATTGCCCAAGAGGCGGCGGCAGAGCGAAGCTCATTGGTTTTTTTTCAATTGACAATTAAGCACTGAGTCGGATGGGTTCAAGTTAACCTAACTAGTGAAGAATAAGTGTTTGCTGATTTTGGAGGTTAGACATGATGGAGTTGAGGTGGTTAGAGGGAATTTTTATTGCGTCCTCCCACCTGACGTAGAGCTACATCAGGTAGCCTATGATATGTCGCCACGTGCACTTACTTTTTACCGCGCGGCCCGACGTCCCGACTCGGACCGACTCCGGGATTACTATGTTCGCGTATTGCTCGGTATTTGCTCGGTATTGCTAAGTACTACTCGGTATTGCTTAACAATAACAAGAAATATCGCTCTATGAAGAGCAATACCGAGTAATACCTAAAAGAACTCGGTATTGCTCGGTATTTCTCTGTATTGGTTTTCATAGAATAGTATTTTTCAATTTTGTCGAGCAAAATCGACCAATACCTAGTAATACCTAGCTACGCAAACTCTCGGGTCCGTTACGGGTCGGGTCGTCGGGCCGCGCGGTCAAGAGTAAGAACACGTGGCCACATATCATAGGCTACCTGATGTAGCTCAACGTCAGGTGGGAGGACGCAATAATTCGGTTAGAGGAGGCCCACCGGTTGGCTTTTATGGCAGATTTTAATGCTTCAAGTTTTATTGTGTGTTGGAGCTTTTTTATTTTTTATTTATTCTTTTGAAAGTTAAGAAAAATCAATCCTTATCTTCACATATTGAGACTTCATCTACCGGTTTTAACTTTTCCCTTGCAGACTCATCCTGATATCATCATGTCCATTTCCAACAAATAATCTGGAAAAAAATAGAAATTGTGGGCCCCGTTCTCGCTGTATAATATTACCTTCTAATCACTCATTGAAAAAGTGCCACGCTGTAGATCCAAGTGCCACGCAGGAGCACTTTTCCCATAAAAAAAAATCAAGAGAGAGCACTTTTTCGCAAAAGAATCGGGATATCCTCACCTACCACACGTGGCCAACATCCATTGGGTTTGCGAGTATCGAGCTCGCGGTAAGCGATGCGGAAGGTGACGGAATCTTCCCTCCTGCTAGCCGAGCAGTCCCAAAAAAACTCTTCAAATTGCAGGCCAATTCACGCTAATAAGAACCCGTCAGGCGAACGAAGTGGAAGAGAAAGGAAGTGTTGGTTGATGCGATCCGCTGTTCCGTGTTAGACAAAGGAGGACCAGAGCAAACGAAGAGTAGAGGTTGAGGTTGCCGATCGGAAACGACAGAGATCAGTTCAGTTGCTGTTCGGGATTACGCGAGTGAGAGACGGTGGCGGCCGAAAACGGGAATGAAGCAGGGGAAGTACGAGCTCGGGCGGATGCTGGGAGAGGGAAGCTTCGGGAAGGTGAAGTTTGCGAGACGGGTGGACACCGGTGAGGCATTTGCCGTCAAGATCCTTGATCGCAAGCGGATACTCGACCTCAAGATCGACGAGCAGGTACGTGCCCACGCCGCGGCGTTGCCTCCGCCACCGCCGTTGCTCAATCAGCTTCTCTAATTCTTTATTTTATCATTTCATTAGTATTTGGAGATCAGAAAGGGTTTTTGGGAGTAGATTTGAGGGTTATTTGGTTCTTTTTTGAAAAAAAAAAAATCTCTGTATAACTTTTTCAGCTTAAAAGGGAAATCGCGACGCTCAAACTTCTGAAACACCCTAACGTCGTCCGACTCCACGAGGTCCGTACTATCTTTTTCAATTATGAACTCCTCACAGTTTTTTTTATTATTGGCTTCTTTAAAGTTAATTAAATTTGATATCAATTATTAGGAAAGCACGAATCTGCTAATGATTCCGACGAAAAATACTCCTCAGGAAGTACGGAGCCTGGCCCAATACTTGACTTTTTGCTGCTTTCCCCGGCCCATGAACTTTTCTTCTTTGATTTGCGATTTTAACCATTGTTTTTCTCTCATGATCTCCTAAGTGGTGGGAATAAAATAATTGCGGGTCATGTATCTATGAGATTAGTTACCGGTAGAGTCGCTTAGAGATTAGTTACGTCATCATGCATCTCCTATAGGGATGATAGCGGGTAAATACCCTCGTTAAAAAAAAAATTGTGATTTCAAAGATATTTTAAAATTTAAGTAATTTATATACATATCATAAAATTATCATATACTTATATATTTAATATTTAAATTTTTATATTTATTTGTATATCACAATAATATTTAAATATATATATTAGTTATATCCTTAGGCTTCAATAATTCTATTATGCATACTTCTTTATCTCTTTCAATAATATAAATATTTATTTAGGGTAAAAAGTAAAAATTTACTTGTTTCCATCATTTCTTATAGGACTATTAACTATCGAGTTATGAACTTAATACAAGTGGAATTTAATCTCAGGACAAGTCTTTAAACTGATATCATTTAAAATTTATTTTCATAAAAACAAATTAAGGTTGGAAATGAGGATGCTCAACTGGATGAGTAGCTTTACTCTTAGAGATAGGATATGAAATGAGCATATACGTGAAAAGGTTGGAGTAGCACCAGTGGAAGATAAGATTAGAGAGAATCACCATAGATGATTTGGTCACATAAAACAACGGCCTTCCGATGACCTGGTTAGGAAAGTAGAGATAGTAGACTTAAATTGTGTTAAGAAGGTAGAGATAGATCTAAAAAGACTTGATTAGAAAATATTAGAAATGATATTTCTTTATTAGATTTAAATGAGAATTCGAGTTTTAACATGACACAATGGATTACTTTTATGTTTGACTCAAAGTAAAATAAACGTAATGTATAGTCATATAATAGTAGTAGCTAGTGGCGACAACAGTCAGTGGTGGCTATGGGGGTGACGTTGGTCTCCGACAATGATCAGCGGTGAGCGGTGATTGTGGTGTTCGATTGTCATCTATGATGAATGACGATGGTGGATGCTATGGGTGTCAATTTATGACTGGACCTGAAAATTTGATCTGGAAATTTTGATTTTGGGTCAAACCATTTGAAAAAATGGGTCGAGTTCGAGTTCTAGTTCCCTACTACTCGTTTGAAGAATCACTTTGGATTTGAATCAACCTGCTCCGCAGGCCAGCGCGTCCTGCCTTCACAGTTAGCACTAGCAAATTAACATGCAGATCCGTAGGCCATGCACTGTGTCGTGTAGCTCGTGCGTCACGCCCGCACCACGTCCCTCTACTACATACACCGCATGACCACGTTCTGCCTGCACCGTGTGACCACATCCAAACTCCAGCCTGCACTGCATCCTGCCCAACCTCACTCGCACCTACGCTCGACCTGTGTTTTGTACTCTACGTCGCCTGTTTTGTGCTCGCCCAAGTTTGGGTGTCGGGATGAGTTAACCTGGATTGGGGTGGGTTGGGTTCGGGTTTATATTTCTAATTACACATTCGTGTAATCAGGTTGAGTTCATATTGGAGCAGTCCAGAGCAGGTTAGTTTCGGGTTGGACCTGAACCATACTCAAAAACCCATTTTGACACCCCTGATGGTGGCGATCAATGACAGTGGCAGTGAGTAACGGTTATGTCAGTGGTGACAGTGATGACCACATAGGCTAACAAAGACGAACTAGAGGGCAACAGTAGGCGGCGGAAGAGATTGGCGATGGCTGACAGTTGTCGACAATAGTAGATGGTTGGCGACGACAACGCAGTCTCCTTATGGTGTAAAAGTAATTTAGCCAAAACTAAATGAGTTTACAAATACATTAAAAATGAATTAGGAAATGAAAAATGTTCCTTTTTCATCAAACCAAATACCCAAATATTGAATTACATTGCATCTGGAATATTTTTCATTCACTTTTCAGTAACCAAACAACCTCTTAATGAAAAGGAATGCAAAGTTAAATTTTGACAAATTCTAAATTCATTTTGTAGTTTTTTTAATGCATTGAAAACTCACCTAATTTTCGCCGAATTCTAAATACACCACAAGTTGATTTTGTTGTTGATGTTGATCGCCAACATCGCTGGCTGACCATCGATGCCGCTAAACCTTGTCTGCCACCCCATGCTGTCATATGTCGCTTTTATCCATCATCATCAATCATCATCCGCTATCATCATTCAATTTTACATTGCTTTCATTTTACTTAATAGAAATTAAGAAAAGTATTGATATGTATTTATTTTACACCTATAAGAACCATTCGAAATATTTCAAATGTATTGCATATATTTTATACTGTATTCTATTTTACCATACATTTCTTTTTGTGTGAAAAAATAGCTTCTAAATTGATAACTTCTAAAATAATTACAGATTAAACTAAATTTTCACTACTTTTCCATTTAATTATTTTGATGCGTATATCATTATTTAGGTAATAGAACGGTTTGAAATGGCAGTTGTGGGCGGGGGCATGTTAGAGGGCTTTGGCCAACACAACTTGTACGGCCCATGTAGTAAGCGTGATTGAAGGCCCCACCCACGACATGCATTTCTCAACATGCATCACGTGCCCAGTCCCCACCTAGATGCTTGATGCAAATTTTTTTTAAGGCATTTGATTTCGTGTATATATATATATATATATATATACTTCATTAGCTTTTTTTGGTGGCAACAAGCTAGCGAAATTCTTGAGGACAACGATTGATCGAGTGGGGATGATTGAATCCATGATTGTCTGGGAAAAGCGCAGTGACTTTATCTTCTCTTCGTTATTGGAACTGATACTGCACATAATTTTTGCTATAAAATTTGAGGCATTTAGCTGCTCTTTGATTCACGACTACCTAATCTAAACATTAACAATATAAGTGAGGCTAGTTTTGAATGAAAAAGGGGTCTGAAAGGTGTTTTAGTCTATAATAGACATAACAAATGGACATTGAATTATATACCCAGATAATTATTTGGTCTGAATTGGCTTTAATTGTAGCTATCTTACTTCTGCCTAATCCTTTCATCTTCATGATCTGCAACCTCCAATTATTTGGAATTTTTTTATAGTCCTTGCATGCCTCCACCACCCAATCAATTGGAAAAATCCAATTTTCATTTTAGTTGATCTCCATTAATCTAATGAAAAATCCAATCATTCTTCACAGCTGGAAAAAGGGGTTACGGTATTTTGCTTGAGAATTTTATATCTGCTACACTTATCAATATCAGAGTTTAAACTTATTAGATTTGTTTGGTGTTGGAATATTATATTAATGGAGAGAGTTTATCTCGTAGTCATGATTGATGCTCCCTACAAAATCAGAATGGTTCACAAAATTTTTTTTTTTTTTTGGGAGTGAAAATTCATGTAATGGAAAAAACTGTGGAATCTTTGTTGAATAAAAAAAATCCACTAGTTGAAGTCTTAAGTGTTGGGTAAACCACACAACGAAACAAACAATAAAATTGAAATATAGCATAAAGTAAAGGACACCATGATTTAACGTTGAAAAATCCGAAATCGGGAAAAAACCACAGAGCAACAACACACCAAGAAATCTACTATGAAAATTGGGAGAAATAAGTATAGATCTCTCTTCTCTCTCACTCTTTCCTTGCTTCTCTATTCTTATACACCATCCTATCACTCTAAACAAAAGAGAAAAGCTTTTATATAACATCAAGAGATGCCACCCTTGAGAAAAACAAAAAAGAAAAATTGTTCAGTCTGCCTCGAAGCACCACGGTGCCATTTTGGAGCGCCGCAGCGCTCAGTGATCCATCACCAGTTTATTAAATAGCGTTACGTCTCTCCACTCTCAGTCTTTTCTCCCAGTAAACTTTTGCAGCACTGAGCGCTCGGGTACACATTGTCGGAACGTACTAAAAATATTACCATTTAAAGCATCATAGATATTACAAGATATACATTTCACATAAGAGGTGAAGTGACATTTTATAATGTCCTGAAATTAATTAAGTATTATTATGAATTTTGATTATGTAATGCTTTTATATAGGTTTAATTAGAGAAATTGTATTTTAAGTTTGACGAGGTTCAAAATTATTCTGCTTACTATTCTATATAATTTTGCGAGTTCACAAAAATTTCTTTGGTATTATTCTCATATCTTTTGAATTACTAATGATTTTTTTAATTTCTAGGTTATATAATTATTTTATTAAAATTAGAGTTTATTAATTTTTATTTAAGATTTAAATGATATCTAAAATTATGAAATAATTCTTTAAAATTGGAGATAACCTAAAGTATGTTTCATAAAAGAATTGAAATTATTTTAAAATATTCCGAATTCTATAATATTTTTCATTATTAAAAAATTTTAGTTTGTCATTAAAATGAGCTCCAAAATTTATGAGAATAATATCAGAGATTAAGGATAACCGATGGAACTTCTCATAAAAATTTAAGTTCATTTGAATTTTATGAAATTTACATATAATTTAATGATCATATTTTTTTTTACAACAACAACAACAACATCAAGCCTTTATCCCACTACGTGGGATCGGCTACATGAATTCATAAGTCAAGAATGACTTGAAAATATTTCCTTAAAATTTTAAGCTAGTTTGAATTTTTTATAATTGATTATGATTTATTGAAATTATTTATTCATTAATATTTAAAATTTAATGAATTTACTATTTTCATTTTGGTTTAATTTTACATTTCTTTAATTATTGGTTTATTATAAGTTCAATGCAATTTACTTTATTTTTTTTATAATTTTTATTAAATGAGTCTAACTAGCTTTAATATCATTTATACATTAATAAAAGATTCGTAAGTTCATAGTTCTCCTATCCTTGCCTAGAATTAGATTTTTGGAAATTTCTTACCTAATGAACTTAAATATTGTTGAAATTAAAACTAGAGATTATTATTATCCTTATGTCAATCCTCAAAACTTTAGGTCATTTGGAATTAAAATGAATTTTAAATATTTTTTCTAAAACTTAGGGTTGATTTCTAGGGTTTTGTTAGGGTTGGGTCAAGGGGTTTAACCCACTTAGGGTTGGACCACCTAGAGGAGCTGGCCAAGGGTCTTAGGAAGAGTTATGTAAAGCTTGGAGATTTTGATTTAGATTTGGATAGGTTTATCCTTAGTGAACCCAATGAGGGTTAAACTAGTGTTGGCCATGATCGAAGGGCTTGACAATGGGTCAAACATATGCCTACATATCCTCTAAATAAGCTAAAAACATTGGGATTTAATGTCAAGGCCATTTGGCTTGAATTGGATAATTAGATTTGATTTTTGGGTTTCTTTTCGGGTTTTGGTGAAACATTGGTTAAACATGGTCAAAAGTGCTTGATCATGCGTCAAGCATCTGTTAAGGTGATTCTATGATGCATTAAAGCTAGTTAGACTCAATTACATGGACATTTTGTTTGAATTAGGTGTTTAGGTTTTATTTTAGGGTTTTTGGGGTTAACAGAAAGATTTTGGTCAAACTGATTTTGACCATGGGTCAAATGGGTTGACCAAGGCTCTTTGACCAATAGGGTGGGTCCAAGGGCAAATCAAAGGTTCCTAGGATAGATCCTAAGGTTATGGGCCACCTAGTGTAGGTCACATAAATCCTGCCAAACGGGATTTACGCTTGATGTAAATCTCACGGTGGAATAACGTTTTGCCGTAAATCTCGGATTTATTAAATCCTGTAGTTTAGCGGATTTATTAAATCCTGTAGTTTAGCGGATTTATGAGATTTGGCCGATGAAGTGCGCGAAAGGGAGAAAGCACCTCCACAGTGAGCCCTACACATATCTAAGCTATATTGATTAGCATAATTAATATAATTTAAAATATTAATAATTAAGTAAATTAATTAAATAATTAATATTATAATTAGTGCATAAATTAATCATCTAATTTAACTTAATTAAATAGTTAGTAATATAATTAGTAATAAAAAATTAATCTAATCAGCTTAATCACTATAGTTTTAAATAGAAATTATTAAAATTTAAATAATTAATGAAATTTTAACTAGGTGTATTAGTTAAATAATTATTTATTTCCAAAAATTATTAACTAATTCATTATATATCAACTACTTAATCAATTGACAACTAAGTACTTTGATAATTAGTACTATAATCAATAATTAAATTTTTAATTATGCTAATTGATAACTAAGCAAGATTCTAATGATATTACTTGTCATTACAATTTACTGATGTTAATCAAGATAGAAATTAATAATTTATCTTACTTAGGAAGTAATTAAAATTAAAAACATAAGATATTTAATTTTATAATGAACCAACCGGCTTAAATCCTAGATCACATTGTCAAATAGTTTCATAGGATTTAACAGGATTTATCACTTAAGTTGCCAAACAGTTTTCAGGATTTAACAACCCCAGGATTTACAGGATTTACTAAATCCTAAGTAAGTAAATCCTATTGTTTACCAAACAGCCCTTTAAAAATTAGGGCATTTTGGTTATTTTTGAGGTTTTAAATTTTGACTTATTAATCTACGGAGTTCTACTATTTATCTAGAGTGCTTGGGAGTTTCCTAGGATGTTTAGGTGGCTTTTTAAGCTAATTACAGGTTAACTAGACCATCAATGGTTCAATTAATCCCAAGGATTCACTTGGGATTAATTTTGAGCTTTAGCTTTTGGTTTTAGCTTCAACCTATTACCAATGGGTCTGGAAAGGGTTGAGAAGGTTATAAATTGGATTAGGAGGGACGATGGTAGGGTTCTAAGGGTCCTGGATAATATCTAAGGCAAATTAAGAAATACCTAGCCTAAGGGTCTCAATGGTCTTTTTTTTATTTTTCAAAATTTTTTTATTTTTATCTTATACTAGGATTTCAGATTTCTAGTGGCTAACCAAAATGGTCTTTTTTATTTTTATTTTATACTAGGGTTTTAGATTTCTAGTGGCTAACCAATGCTAAATCCTTAGGAAATCTAGTTATGAGGGTACTATGAAGAAGACCATACACTAAGAAAAGAAGCCTAATGGCTAAAGCTATAAGCACATGAGGGTGATTTCAAATTCATTAGAGAATGAGGTCAAAAGTTGGATGAACACTTGAAAATTTCTTCAAAAAAATAAAAAATTTACATTGAAAGAATTCAATTTACAAACCTGTTAGTGATTTGGAGAGATGAAGAGGAATTTATAAACGTTACATTAATTTACAACACCTCAAAATAGTTACAAATGAATTCTAAGAAGTTTTGGGAGTCCCCAAAACCTGGAAACGGTTACTGGAGGATCATATGTACGATGAGTTCAAATTCACCTGAATTTTATACTGATTGATTATACGATTTCCAATCGTATGTATAATTCTAATTCTGGATTCTGGCTAAAACTTCCATTGGCAGCTATTAAAAGGTTCATTACAAGAAATATAAATGGTTAACTTCCAATGGCTAAGCATGTTAGATCATATGTACAATCATACAATTGCATATATGATCCAAAAATTGTATTTAGAATCCTTATTGTTTTAAAATATCTATGAAAAATAAGTCTTATGGTTACCTACTCAGTCTAAATTCGTACCGAAAGGTTCTGATAGGCTTTCAATGTCTTACTTAGACTAAGCAACCTATAGTGCCAGCAGGCAAAAATAGTTTGCAATTGCAAGACTGAAAAATAAATTATAATTACATAACTAATCATTAATTCTTCGATTGAGCTCATGCGTTTTTTTCCCATATATCTTGTCCTGTTTATGAGGTCTCATTTGCCTCCGATGTAATTTATCCCACTATTTTGATATGCATCTTATGAATCCTTTAATCACTTAATCGAAACATTAATATATCAAATTGTATCCTTAAAATCAGGTCGCCTATGCTGTTGACTTATGGGGTCAACATTTATGAGATCGTTGTTTTGACTTTAAATTTGCAAAAAATTGAAATCATCCTGTCCCAGAATTAAATTCAAAAGCTTAGGCTCAAACTTTCAAGTGCTTTGGATCTGAATGTTTCCCCAAAACACGAGCTTGATAGGATGGATATTCTAAAACACATGACGAATCAAATACTTTCCAAGGTTTACTATGAAACAACTACTAAATTTTTAGCTATGCATATATTTTTCTTCATTACCTTTTACTCTCACAGAGAAAAAGGATTTATGTAGCTGATCCCACATAGTGGGACAAAGGATTGATGTTGTTGTTGTTGTGCCTTTTACTCTCACTGACTTTGTTGCTATCCATATTAGATGAAATGCCTTGCTGATCCAAATGTCAGTTTTTTTTTCCTCTTGCATGAGAATTGTGATTAAATTTGTGGTTTAAAGCTTAAACTACAAACTTTATATCAATTACTTTGTAATGTATATTACTAAGATGCTAATACCTTTGTCTGCTAAATTTGCTACTATTAATCTTTGATTGTTTGTTTAACAAACAATTGCAGGTCTTTGCAAGCAAAGAAAGAATCTATATGGTGCTTGAATATGTGAATGGTGGCGAGTTATATGATAAAATAGTAAGCATCAACACCTATTCATACTTTAGTACATGCATTTTAACTTTTGACTTTTAACCTTAATGACAAGGCTTAGCTAATTCTAGTATTGTAATATATGTTCTTTATTGGAATGCTTTGAAGGCGTCTAAGGGAAGGCTTTCAGAGCAGTTTGGTCGAAATATTTTTCAGCAGTTGATTGATGGCATAAGCTACTGTCATGATAAAGGAGTTTATCATAGGGACTTAAAGGTAGTTTCCACGTTTTAGATGCATAATCTTATAATAGAAACTATATGCTTTCATCCATTTGTCCTGTCTCAGAATTCAGTCTCAGAAATTTATGTATACAATTCACGGCAAACAAACCATCATCAGCTAGGAATATTTTACCTAGAGCAGAATAACTATTTATTTGCAGAACTCTTTTTTAAATGTGATGTAAATACTAATTGTAACCTAGAATAAAAGGATATCGTGGTTAGTATGGCTTCTTATTACAAATAGCCTATTAAAGGATGCAATAATTGTCAGGGTATTGCCAGGATTAAAAAAAAAAATTCAAATAAGTGTTTTTAGAATGGATTTAAAAGCTTGCTGCAAATTTTGTTTTTATGAGTTAGAACTAAATCAAAAATACATTTAGCTTTTAGATCCACCATCTTATGTTCCTCTAAATAGAAGAAAGATAGGAGCAAGGATGAAGTAGAAACCAGTATTATTGCCGCATAATAGCTACTTGTTATGTAGTATAGATCAAAGTAAGTGACAAAGTTTCAGTGTGATAAAACGTTAGTTAAATCATTTTTAACACAAAAACATAAGCAAATAGGTGAGAACTAATTAGTAGTATTTCTAAACCAACAAAGTTTTCAGTTATCCAATATGAGATTAACCCCAAAACTCTCACTGGCCTTAAAATGTCTCTTAACCATATGATACACTCTAGTGGCCATTACTACCCCTTAAACAAAACATTTTCATGTAGAGCCCTTGTGGGAGTTACCCACTATTGAATCAGAAAAAGCATTTTTAGTATGTACCAAAGGCCCATTTTGGTCACAAATCATATGAACTACTCAATCCAAAGATAATCATTATTAAGCTTATAGATGAGAGCTAAATATTGCAATTTTTCACACTACTGTATTTTCAGCTATCTAATATGGGATAAACCTAATATTCTCATATTCCTTAACAAGAATTTCATTTACCAACTTTTTACTTTATTTTAGTTGTAAAACCAATCAGCTTGAGTGGGAGTTAAACCCTTCACCTCACACTTTATAAGGTGGGAACAATGCACTTGATCTAATGCTCATTTCTCGCAAGTTATTATAGGATCAATTCGATTTATTTTGTCCTCTAATAAATCTCTATATAATAGTTTCTTTTGTTCATATATTTATTTTTCTATCATTCCTGCTGCAGCCTGAAAATGTTCTTGTTGATGCCATGGGTAAAATAAAGATATCTGATTTCGGACTTAGTGCTTTATCACAACAACTTTGGGTATGTGGTCTATGATATGCTTACAGATAAAATCGAGTCGGATCATACTAAATCATTTTCTGCTATAATTCATCGTTCTTATTTTCTTTATTAGAATGATGGGCTATTGCACACAACTTGCGGAAGTCCTAACTACGTTGCTCCTGAGGTGAGCGTTTGAAGTTGTGAAAATACGACAAAGCATAATTGGTCTACGTGGAAAATTTAGATGGATTTAAATTTTCATAATTTCTTCAGGTGCTCTCCAACAGAGGTTATGATGGTGCTATATCAGATATCTGGTCATGTGGTGTAATCCTCTATGTCATCCTTACTGGTGCTCTTCCATTTGATGATCGAAATCTTGCAGTTCTTTACCAAAAGGTTTGTTGAATAATTTTGAATTGTTCAATGTGTGCTGTTAATCACTTTAATATGCAAAATTAACAGCAAACAATTTTATTTAGGTTTCCTTTGGGATGACTTTCTTCTTGCTTTCTAAAACAGCTTTTTAGTACAAAAATTTCTTGAATTTGAAAATTTTATACTAGAAATTCATTTTAGAAAGCAGTACGAAAGTTGTCCCAAACGAAGTCTTAATTTTCATCTTGCTTGTGCATGCTTAGTGTACTTTAAGTTTGGTGTCCCAGATTTTCAAAGGAGATACTCATATTCCCAGCTGGCTTTGCCCTGGTGCTCAAAACATGCTAAGGAGGATTTTGGATCCAAATCCTAGAACTCGAATAAATGTAGCTGAAATCAAGGAAGACAATTGGTTTAAGCAAAATTATACTCCAGTTATTCCCTATGATGAAGAGGACATGTATATGGATGATGCATCCCTGTCAGTAGAAGAGGTATAATTATTGCTTTTTTTATTATCATTATTATTTCACCACATACAGAAGTAAGATTTCAAAGGTAATAAAGTTTCCTTGTTTTGCTTTGTTACTGATGCAGCTAGTAGAGACAGATGAGCTCAGAAACAAATCGACACTAATCAATGCTTTCCAACTCATAGGAATGTCTTCATGTTTTGATCTTTCGGGCTTTTTTGAGAAAGAGGTAAGGTTTAAACGATCTGCATATCCTTATGTTCAATTTCCTACTGAAGCCATTGAGATGCAAATGAAGTGACCATATGAACTCCAGAAAATGTTAAGATAACCACATCCAAATGTTTCATTGGGTATCGTAGGATGTCTCTGAAAGAAAAATCAGATTCACATCGAACTACTCACCCAATGATGTCTTCAAGAAGATCGAAGATATCGTTACTGAATTTGGTTTTCAAGTCCAAAGAGGAAATGGAAAGGTTACTATTTTACACCTATAAGAACACTGACTAAAATACTATCTTCTGGTTGTTATATCTTTTGGGCTGGCTGGATTAATTAAATTTCACCATAACAATTTTGATCAGACCGGATTCTTTGGAGAGTCCTGGTCAAAATAGTTCAATTAATTATCTTGATGGTAGATATGATATGCAAAAGTTGAATTCTTTTATTCCTGCAGTTGAAGGTCATACAGCCCACTAGAGGCTGTACAAGCACGAGGAGCTGCGGGTCTCTTTCAGTAGCTGCAGAGGTGTGTTTCTTTATTATTATTTTTTTAATAAATTTATTCTTTCTGGTATATGGCCCTTAGATTTAGGTTTCGTTTGGGACAACTTCTTTACTATTTCTTAAAACAGCTTTTTAATTTAAAAATTTTAATTATTGTACTAAAAAGTTGTTTTAAAAAGCAGTCAGAAAGTCGTCCCAAACAAAACCTCAGAGGTTCATATAGCACAAAATTTCTGGTTTCTTCTAAATTTATGCTCTTATTTAGGTATTTGAGCTCAGCCCATCTCTGTATGTGGTGGAGCTTCGTAAAGCATGCGGGGATTCCTCTTTGTACAGGCAGGCAAGCTTCTTTACGATGATTCTGAGCTTTGGGTTCACATGAATGAATTAACTTGGTTAAATTAGGGATATTTAACTTTTTAAGTTGAACTAAATTGCCTGCAGTTATGCTCAAAGATATCAGATAAATTAAGTGTTTACAAGGGTGCACAACTTCTGAAGATGCGGTCGCTATTGCCTGAACTTAATCAATTTGAAGGGAGTAAGTCTATCAGCACTGTAAAAACTATCTAGTCCTGCATTTTAGTGTCCAAGAAATAGAGTAATTTTAACGCATCTGTATATATACGTTGGATAACTTGCTGTAAATGATTTGCACTCATGACAAGAGGATATGGTGTTTACGAATTAACAAAGTTTGTGAAAAACTGTCCACTATTTATAGTGCATTTCCTTTTAACTTAGGCTTCGTCTGAGATAACTTTTTTACTGTTTCTTAAAACTGTTTTTTACTATAAAAATTAAAATTTTTGTACTAAAAAGCTGCTTTAAGAAGCAATAAAAAAGTCATCCCAAGCGAAACCTTAAACATGTAAGAAAGCTAACAAAATATCACTCCTTAATTTATAATTGAGTAATCTTGATTTATTAGGAAGGTGGTTTCAATCAGTATCAGAGGCTTTGAAGTTTTTGTTGGTGCACAAGCTTGGAATGTTATTATGCAAAAAGAGAAGGTTAACCTAAGAGACGACAACAATATAATTACACTTATGATCTCAATCTCATAGCAATGGGGTCCACATTTAAAATACGACGACGCAAAAATCTTTATGGTTTAATATTTGAAGTATTTTTTGAGAGCAAGAGTCACAAATATATAATTTTAGTCCTCACCTTTATTGAAGCTATGTCATTGATAGTGATGCAAACATGCTAAACCACAATCTAAATAAATCATAATTGTATGATAAAATTAAGATGGGTTGTGGTGTGATTATACAATATAGCATATTTTTACATGATAAGTTGCCAAAAGAGAACATTCAAAATGAAAGTTATAATATAAGATATAAGCAACTAAAGAAAAATATGATAGTGAAATATATTTATGATTTGGTAAATTGTTAACCAAATGAAAACAAAGATGTTGGCATAAAATGCTTAAAAATAGATATATTAAAATTACATATTATTCAATGATTAATATTAGGTACACTTCTAATTGAATATGATTTCTCCTAGATCAACTAAATTTCAACCTCTAAACTAAAATTTTATTAAATAGAATAGATAATGATGCTTGTAAGATTCATGGAAGATCTTTTTAGTTGAATAAAATGGGTCTATTCATAGTCATAATTAAGGAAATGTTCTCCGCCAGATACGAAATGTAGCCTTTTATAGATATAAGGGGGGAATAGATCTATATAAAAGAAACCCCTCATTATGAGTAGATGCAATAAGCTTCACAAAGATTTCCTACATAAGAAATTAGTTGAAAAATTATAAAGAGTTGTGGCTACATGGGCCAAGTCTATAAATAATCCAATTTGAAGGGAAGTGACCACTAATGAGGATCTCATGATTTAATTTTGGTAAGGGTTTGCCATGAAATCAATTGTTCAAGGATCTTCCAAGCAAAAAATTTATTTAAAGAAGGCTTAATGTTATAGGACAAGAAAAATCAAGCTATATTAGAATTCATATTTGAAAACAATTCTTTACTAGGGAATACGAGGATATTTCCTTGAAAATTTTCATTAAGACGTATATCGACATCAAAAGAAATCCCATTAAGAGCAGAAAAAATTGTTTTGCTTACAATTTTTTTAAAAAGAAAATGATTAGAGGAGCTTATAATGTGTGACAAAGGACAAACAAAAGCAGGCTTCTTTGAGGAAACCTTAAAATGTTTCATAAATAAAATTAAAGAGTTAAAGTCATGTGCAAAAAGATATATTATCATATATATGGTTTATAATATAGTCAAACTATATTTGATACAAAATACACTATGTCTAATGTAATGTATGATACAACAAACCTTGATAAGTACACTATTAAAGCTCTAATATATCATATCTAATAAAACATGAAAGAGGATAAATGACAAAATCTTTCCTATCTTCCTACCCTTTTTCCCTTAGGATCGAATTGAATTAGGAACAAGACATTACTAGTCAAAATATATGTCAATTTAGTAATTAATATTTAACATAAGCATTCAAAGGTAAACATAAGTAAGTGTATAAGGAGAAAAAAATATTTCTTTCATTTTGAAGCCATAATTTTGATTAAATAGCTTAAATTTTATTTAAGAAACTTTCGCAATGTAAGTATCTAGAACTACTAACAAGCATTATATTTTTTTGAGATAAATCTTGTTGATGGGAGCATTGTATGATTTTTATCTACTAAAAGATAAGACCAACCTTCCTAAATAATATCTACTACAAAGGTACCTACTTAGGTAGGTATAAATTTTCAACCTCTTGATGGTGATTGACAACCAGTTATGTAAAACTAAAACTAAGTGGCTATTAGTGAATGTCCCCAATATAACATGCTTATCTTGTGCTTAATTCATATGAGCATTATATAGTTCCAAATACTATTGAGCTTGTAATCTATGTTCATCAAGGTTATCTAACTCTTTAAGGTAGAGATGGACATTCGTGTTGTAATTTAAACCAATACTCATAGCTACACATAAAGAAGGTCATTCTAGTTTCGAAAGAATGATTGATTCTAACCCAAAATTCACTGTATATAAAGTTAATTAAGTAGAAGTTTTGTATGACTACAAAGCTTATGGTATTTTATCATGTCATTCTTTTGTGTAACTAGATAAAATTTTCTAAGGTTGATAAGAGTTTTATTAAAAGATTCAGGTAAACCATTAGCCTTAATATAATAGATCATCAAATAGCAACAATCAATGTTGTGGCTTTAGGAAATTTTATTAATTTTGATGCTTTTAAAAGTAGTAATATTATCAGATATAATATTATATGCTACACAAAAATTTATAGAAAGTATGATCACATAAGAAGTGTAAAATATTTTTCACCTCAAACTCTCTTAATGAATTGATTTTTTTCCATTAAGAGAAGTAATCTACTACAACCAACATAATTTAATGTTTAATAATGATGGAGGATTCATTGAATATATAACATAAGTACCCCAACATTCAAATGTCTATGAGGTGATCATTAGATGTAGGAAATTTAGAGATATATGAGGAATGGGATTGTGAATTTGGTATCGATGTTGTTTCTTTACAAGTCAACATACTCCTAAATGATAGTTTGCTAATAATAGTTCAACATTTCAATTTTTTAATTTCATTTTGGTCATGAATGATGAGCCCTACATAAGCCCTCCCAAACTTCACTCATAACCTTTTGAGCTTTACTTTTATTAACATAAGGAAGCCACAATTGATCAAATGAGCTAATGAATAAAATACCATTAATTAAGGTGTGAGATCATGCCCATATTTGAATTTAAGAATGTTGGTCCCATGTGAAAGTTCGAGGAGGTTGTAAAGTCTTAATGCACTGTCCATAAGACATACTAAGATAAAAGTAATATTATCAGTTGATGCAAAAGCTAGTACACTTATCAAAAGTTATAAAAATGGTGATAATAATGTAATTAATACAACATAATATCAATCACAGATTTTCAACCAAACAGTTACAATAGAAAATAAAATACAGAAAAATAAACTGCATAAACTAAAATCAAATAGAACACACCAGATTTTATAGTGGAGTGGCCTAAGCTTTAATAACACAGAGTGGATTTATGGAACCTAACCGTACTCAATGTTTGATTTATTATTTTGACAAAACATTGCTACCTTTTCTATTTTCTTTGTATCTAATGTTTTATGGAACCTAACCATACTCAAACTTTATTATGTGATTGTTTATCCTCTCATCGTTCATGATTATTTACTTGGATAAAATACTAGAATTGCATTCTTTCCCTTAAGTTTCTTCATATTGCTTATGTGAAGTGGCCTAAGCTTTCTATGATGATAGGATCCTAAGAATTACATTTTTTTATCAAAAAATTAGAAACAACTAAAAACAACCATAGAATAACAAAAAAATGGAAAATGGCCCTCTTTGTGGACTTTTGCCTTTGATCAATGTTTGATTTATTATTTTGAACATAATGATGTATACAATAGAAAAATCAACATTAAACTTTGCTAAAGTTGATGAAAAAATATATGTGGACTTAGAGTCCTATATTAAAAATAATTGCTTCTCACTTAAAAATTGAATAATAAGAAAATTATATTAATTAGAAACATTTACTTCTTTTATGATCATTCTACTTACCTTAAGAGGTGAAGTTGTAAGTTACAACTTAGATTTAAGCTGCTACTATTATAGTAGTTCTCCCACTTTAGCTTGATCTAGAGCTTGAGGCGGATGTTCTTGACTATATGTCATAATTATTATTTTTTTAGCATTTTTTCACTTTTATGTTGATAAAATATAAGCGCTAAATTTCTAATAAATTAATCTACTTAAACACTAAATTAAATCTCAAATGTTAAAGCCCAATATAGAATAATTTGGACCATTAATTAGTTTCTCAAAAATATGATACACTATACTCTTCTTTCTTTGGCTATTTAAAAAATATTGCTCCAAACATGAATTAATCATATTTGAAACTCTATAATTCATCCTTCTAAAACCTTTGAAATCATAAAATAATTTGGCACTACGTTAATCGACAGTATTCCCAAAAAACAATCTCTCTTACCATGTAATTAACATTACGAGGCTGCATTTATGTGAAATTTATAGCCCATAATAAATTAAATTCTATCTTGCTTACATTAGTTAGGGTAAGAACTCCTTTTTTTGTCTTTAAATTCATTATATCATAGTATTTCTATTTTTTGAGATAAAATTTTATTTTTTGCCATATTCACTCAAAACATATAGGTTTTATGTATGTAATTAAAAATCCCCAAACATGTATATAAATATTTACACATTTTATTTGAAGCCTCAAAGGTTTCGAAAATAACCCTCTAATACATGAAATCAATGTAAAATGTTATGAAGTGTATACATAATGTTACTACTTTAGCATGTTATTCTAATGTCACGACTATTGTGTCCTTAGGAGGATTACTAGAAAAGCAGTGAAGACAGCTAAATAATATGAAAGGCTAAGTAAGGGAAGAGAGGAGGGTTCAAATATTCTCTTATTATATGGCTTATAGCCCATGCGATTACTTGGAGATTTATTCTTTATGATAATCATGAGTACATAGCATATAATAACTGATAAGCATTTTCTAACCTTTTTGTTTGAAATGAATCATACATCTTGAACTAAGTGAGACATAACCATAACATGTAAACATAATTGAGCATCTTCATATTACACGTCCTTTATTTTTAATGCATACGATAGAACTTA